GGGCCGCAGAAAAATTGTCTTCCATGAAACTGGTCCCTGGTGCCAAAAAGGTTGGGGACTGCTGCCCTAAGCTAATATAATGCTTCAAAACTCAATATTATTTCTTTGTGGGACAAACTGTCTGTAAAATCTGAATTTAACTTTTCTAATTAGCAAAACTGAGATATTTTAATTCCTTTTCTTTCCCTCAGAATAACCTAGAATGTTTTTAACATTTAATAATTATTTTTCTTGCTTGGTGTATAAATACTGTAGATATATTCTGTATAACATTAAATAATGCCAGGTTTGGTGGCTTACTTCTCTAATCCTAGCACTTAGGGAGGCCAAGGCAGGAGGATCACTTAAGGCCAGGAGTTAGAGACCAGCCTGGGCAACAGTGAGATCCTGTCTGTACAAAAAATTTAAAAATTAGCTGGGTGTGTTGGTGCGCACCTGTAGTCCCCACCTACTCGGGAGGCTGAGGAAGGAGGATTGTTTGAATTTGAGGTTTCATGAGCTATGGTGACACCACTGCACTCTAGCCCAGGAAACAGAGGGAGACCCTGTCTCAAAAAAAAATAAAATAAAATAAAGTAACAACTCTGTAGGTTGATTCTGAATCAGTATGGGAAGATTTTATTTATATTTCTGTCCCTTTTATACAGATGAGGAATCTGAGGCTAAGAGTAAATGACTTGCTTATAGTTACTCTATTTTTATGGTAACTTTTTTCTAATAGGAGTTACTTAAAGATCCATTCTACATTGGACTACGGCAGAGGAGAGTAAGAGGTTCTGAATATGATGATTTTTTGGATGAATTCATGGAGGCAGTTTCTTCCAAGTATGTATAATCTTTATTTTTACTTATATTTGAGTTGGATTTTAAAAATTTAAAGATATCCTAACATAATAAACTATTAAAAAATCTAAGTTTGATGCAATATGGTTTAATAATTAGAAGTGATTTGAATAAAAAATATGTAAATCCCAGCTATGTCTCTCTCTCTTCATAACTGTTAGTGGCCAAATGATAATGTCATGTGTCTGTCCGAACAAAGGTTATCCCTGTTGCTATCCCTGAAGATAACTTTTTTCTTACAAGAATCTTTAGAACCTGTGCCTGTTGAAATACATGATTATGGTGAATAAGGCATTGACCAGTGACTAAATTACCTCAGCAAGTCTTTCAACGTTTATTGGCAGTCTGTACTTACTTTCTGGTTTATGATAGAATATGATCTTCAGGCATCTTTGTGGCTGGTATCTGACCTTCATGGTAAGAGAAGCAGAGAAAGAGGTGGGGACTGAGAATCAGTTGGTACAATCCACGGGTCCAGAATGGAGCAAGAAGTAGTGAATTCAATCATGATCCATGAATCTCTGATTAAATCTAAGTATTTGATTAAAATGTAGTACTTATGGAGGTTGAGTGTCTTTTACCCAAAATGCTTAGGACCAGAAGATTAGAGTATTTGCATATACATAATGAGATGGGACCAAATGAAATGAATTCATTTATGTTTCATATAAACCTTATACACATAGCCTGAAGGCAATTTTATGTGATATTTTTAATAACTTTGTCCTCGAAGGAAAGCTTGTGTACATTGAACCATAAGAAAGCAAAGGTGTCAGTATCTCAGCCACTCATGTGGACAGTCTGTGTGTTGGGCATCACTACCATTTCTGACTCTGAATTTATATGCTATTGATAAGCAATCATTTTCTTACCTTAATACAGTGAAAAAATTATGTGTTCAGGCTAACTTGTGGTGTCATGTTGGTGCTCAAAAAGTTTTGGATTTTGGATTTTCAGATTAGGGATGCTCAATCTATATTTAGCATTTGAGTGTAGGCCAAATGCTATTCTAAAATTTTCCATTTTTTCCTTCAAAAAAGAGACTTCCACCATAATTTAGTAATATATCCTGAGAGATTTTTGTCACAGTAACTGACAGTCATTTCTTTAGTTACTCTATAACCACAGAAACCATGTACTATTTAAAAACATGTATATTGCCTTAGTTTTTCATAGAAATAAACTCATCACTAGAATCAAATGTAACTAGACACGTACTTCTGGTTTAGTGCAGAGTATATTTACCAATTATGGGACACTTTTTAGAAACATGCTGATTTGATTTATTATTGTTATTATTTGACCTATTTCGTTAAGCTATACTGCACTTAAGTTCAAAATTGCATGATATAGTTAATTTCTAGTAGATTTTCATAGTTAATTTTAAGTGCCTTACCTTGTGAAACTCTCATGTAAGGTTTTGAAATTATCTATAACTTTCTAAGTAGCAACATTAATGAAGAGATTGTGTAGATAATACTGAGGCTGTATAAAAGAAAAGGAAATGCAGTTCTGGAAATGAAGTCTATCTAAATAAGACAACTTTAACATACTTGCAAAGAAGTTGTTAAATTATGAGCATTTAAGTGTTGCTGAAATAGAAGAAATTATTATTATTTGAAACCAATGAAAAGCGTTCTCGAGAAAATGAGATTTGAGCTAATTTTCAATGCTTTGTGTCAATCCACAATCAGAAAAACTGTTGTGTTTTAAAAAAAATATCGAATTAAGGGATTACCTAAGACCTTTGGTAAGGAAATGGGGATTGACAAAGTCAACAATAATTTTTAATATAGAGAGTACCTATAAATTAGGAGTTTTATTTCTGGGCCCCTCCCAGAGAAAAATGCCAAAGACTTTTCAAAAATACTTTCTGGCATGACATTATTTTGTTTGGGAAAGTTGTCTAGGAGTGAAACCTAACACTACCCAATTAAATTGGGAAGTAGTCTTGAAGATAAGCCTAAGGAAACATTGCTTTAAAAGGAAACATAACTTAATTTCAAGGTGGGAAATGACTTTTTCAGGTTACTCACAGATCAGACTCATAGATGGAGTTTATTAAGAAGTGCCCTTGGGGTCAACCCCTTTGGAAGGCAGAGGACAGTAATAGGAGTGGATAAAGGGAGAAGTTGTACTGCACCAGAGACCCACCAACAGCCTTGGATAACTTTGTTGGGACCACTCCTCCATGCTATTTAGATCCTTAAGAGGACACTAATTACTTCCTGTGGCCCTTCCCCTCCCCCAATACTATGTTTATCTGCTATCTTGGCAGAATTGGGGTGGAGTAGCTTCACATTCTTCGTCTTGGCTTTGTCTATGGTAATAACTCTTCCCTCACAGGCCAAGGACTTGGTATGGGTATTGTGGCACTTAACAAGTATGTCTATGCTGATTATATAATACATTTGGGGTTTGAGGAATCACTACCAGGTGGGTCTGTGATCCCAATGGACCCATTATGAGCTAGATTTTGGCTGGGGCTCCATTTATTACTGGCCCCCATATGCCTCTACTTTCATGAGGGGAGGCGAGGGGGATGGCATTTTGATGCTTCAGGTCTCCAGGTGTCATTGTCAGTTGCCCAGTAACCCTCAGCGTTTGGGTATTCCTTGTCCAGTGCACAGTTACTTAGGTGCTGTACGTCTTTTTGGAGAGGGATTGGGGGCTTATTACCTTGTAACTGTATTCTTGCCATGGTGTTGCAAGATCCTTCCTTCTGAAAACTAGGGCTCTTCAGTCTGGGGGTTCTGGGTCTAAAAATTGGCTCAGATTTGGAAACTGATCAAGAGATTGTGACTTCATTGGGGCAATACCCTCAACTTTTTGTGATCATTCATCTTTGATTTCTTCTGATGGTACATAACGAGCCTTGTTAACTGTCTATTTTGCCTCCAGGGATGTAATTAACTATTAACTATCTCAATAACTCTTTGTGGGTTAGCTCCACCCATACACCACCCTTACCACTCTTATAATTGTGCCCCTCTTATGATAATTGTGCCCACCTGGGTTCTATGGGTAAGCATCCTCAGCTGGTCCTCTCCTCCTCCTTACTATTAGTCAGCCTTGTTAATATATATCAGACTTTTCTCCTGTCACTCCTAGCCTTCAGAGAGCCACCACCAAACTTTTTATTGATAGTAATGTCGGTATCTGCTCACTAGCATATTCCTATCTATGGCTTTGGTAAATGGTGTGTTTTCTGGGCCTTCTGCAGAACATCATCGTTGGGTTTTCTGGCTTTACATAGTATGTGTATTCTAGAATACCCACTTCTCTAAGCTTTGGACTCACCTCTTCTGCCATCTGCCACAGCATTTCTGGCATTTCAGCCATATTTAGTGTGAACCATATGTTTGTCCATGTTTGTAGGAACCATCCTAGTAGTGAGTTTGGACCATCTCTTGGGATTCTTGCCAGTTATTAAATGCTGCATCTCAGGAGAGTGCCTGCAAATCAATAAACTCTCCCTTATCTTAGGTTCCAGCTCCTTTGATCAAACACCCTCAGAACTTAATCCCACATGTACTCTCCTGGCCAATACAAACTATCTAGATCTTGCAGTTCCTTTTCAGTATAGTTCCTTTCTTCCTTTGTCGGCCCTAGTATGTCCCAGGTGGGTTGTGTTGTGATATAACCCTAGTTATAGGCCCAGGGGTCTGGAGGGGAGGCAAGGGATGGGAGTTGGGGGGCACATGTTATCTTATAGGGGAGAAGTCTCTATCCTCATCACCTTCAAGAAAGAAGGGAAGGCCACTTTTGTGAATTAGAAAGTTCTGGGGAGTTAGGGGATTCAAGATTTTGGGAGACATCAAAGCAGACACCCCTATGTGGCACGTTCCCATTCTTTGACAACCAGAATCCTGACTTAGCAGATCTGCCATGCATAAGAGTTTTGGAGCTTTACTGTGATGATTAAGTCTTGTTCCTGATCATCGGCTTTCTCTGCCCAGGAGCTACAGAATCTGAGAATGTCTTCATGTGTCTACAAGGGAGGCCCTTTGGTTTTCACGTTGGCAGTTACTTGCCCTCAGCTTTTTGTGAATTTTTTCCATTGTCTTTATACTTACTATTTCTTCCATATTTCTCAATTATCTGCAATATCATTCCAGCTAACGTGTTCCCTTCCGTTTGTATAATATCCCAACCCACCTTTGGTGAGTTTTAATAGTTGAACTGCCACCTCGTGCCAGAGGATTCTCTGGGCTTCTACCACAGCTACCACAGAGTTGGTGGGGTCCTCTGTGGTGGGGTCCTCATTGCTACCCTGGAAGTGAGTGATCCAACTCCAGAGCCTCATCTTACCACCTGCTTTCTCAGACCACTCCCGGTACCAGCTGCCACAGATTAGTTTACTTAGGAGACATTCTGAAATGAAATTTAGTGTCTAAGAAGTATATAAGAAATGCCCTTGAGATTAACCCCTGTGGAAGAGAGACAAAGGAAGCAGAAATGGGCAGAGGAAGTTGACCTGCTTGGAGGCACAATGACAACTTTGCTGACCCCGTGGGGAACTCCAGAGCTGCAGTGGCTCATCTGAATTGTCACCAATTGGACTGAGATGGCCAAGCCTTTATGTTCCTGCTTTAGTTAGTCATTGGATGTGGGTCACCCTGGGAAAGAACATAGGTCATGCTCTATCGTGAAGTGACTCTTTGAAGCCAAGGCAGCCTCTGGGACAACAGTGGGGGATCTAAAGGGGATATCTGAGTATTCAGCACAATGACTAAATTCAGAAAGTATTGATTACTTAACCTGGATGGTTAGGGGCGGTGGCTCATGCCTGTAATCCCAGTACTTTGGGAGGCCAAGGGGGAAGGATCACTTGAGACCAGAAGTTTGAGACCAGCCTGGGCAACATAATGAGACTCTGTCTCTGCAAAAAAAATAAAAAAATTAGCCAAGATTTGTGGTATACAATTATAGTCCTAGATACTGGGGAGGCTGAGGTAGGAGGATTGCTTGAGCCCAGAAGT